TCTTAAAATAAGATAATTAGATAATATACACTTAAAATAAAAAAAATGCAATTGTGTTTTCTTATTTTAAGTGTAAATTGTCTTGTTCCATTGGCAAAATGTCTCTTTTACCTCCTCAATCCAAGAACAAATGCACTTATTTTAAGAAAAAAATGACTTATCTAGATGTCGATTATTTCCAGTGTTTTTCTTGTGAGTCGCATTAGTTCACATGTGGAAAGTGGTTTATACAACATGTGAATCCATCCCTAAATATTCAGACTCAGGTCAGTGATTTCTGGGCTTCATTGTTTCAGATTTCTTCCAGCTCCAAGAAAGACCTGAACGCCATGGATTTCCTCCCCAAATCCATCATCTCTGCTGTGACCCGCAAACGTAAAAAATGTCCCAGCGCTCATCTGGCGGTCAGCAGCGGCGATGAAGACTCTGAGCACGAACCAGTCAAGAATACCAGCTACAGAGAGGGGGGTGGAGGGGGGGCTCAGGAGGCGGCTCAGGGGGAGCGCACCTGCTCCAAAAAGGAGAAGAGACAGGGGGAGGAAGATGTGGGGAGAGCAGCAGAGAGAGGAGGAGGAGAGGAGATGAAGGAGAGGAAGATCAGGCAGAGAAGCAGTTTGATCCCCCCCCCTCAGCAGAGTCATTCCACGCCCCCCCCACCACAGCTGAAGACTCCCAGTGAGGCCAGAGGACGTCCCAGTATTCCCTACTGGGTGGCCCCCAGCCGGCCCCCCGCCCTGCAAACGTCCAGCTGCCAGCAGCCAGAACGGAACCAGGCGGTCCGCTACAGGAGAACCAGAGGGGCTCGGACCAGGGCCACCTCCGTCAATCTGGATCTGGAGCTGGGCCAGCGCGAGGATTTAATCAGAGGTCAGAGGTCAGACAGACTTCAGCGGGGCGGGGCCGCGGAGGGAGGCTCAGGGCAGCAGGTCGACCCCCTCCCTACCTTCCCTTCTCCTCCAGGAGCGACGGAGCAGACATCCTCCTCTGTGGTGTTAAGGAGATCAGCTCCAGATGCTCAAGCCAAGAACAGGGCGCTGCGGCGCCACACTGTGGTCATTTAAAGAAGAAAAAAAACTAAAGTTTACTAACCGACGTCTGCTCACAGGTTTTCCTGCTAAAGCGGGACGGTGAGCCTTCGTTAATCTCTCCACCCCAGACCTTTACGCCCAAATAACCAGCTGTTAAAAACAACTTTATATAACCTAAGAAAGAGTCCGTGTTCCTATATTTAACTAAAACTAAACCAAAAAACAGAAACCCTTAGTGCAACAGAGTCCATCCATACTCCTCCACAGGAAGAAGGGAAGCAGAAAGCATCCTTGCATCTGATGCGTGGATGAACTCACAGGCAGCGGAGGGAAAATTCCTCTGAAGCTGGAGTTTGTTTGATTAGAGGTGGAAAGGCGTCAGCGATGATGTCGTGATTCTTGTTCCTCCTCCTAGTTTTAGAGCGGATCCCCTCAGTGAAACAAACAAGCTCAGAACTTTGAAAAATAGACTTGCAAACACAAGAATGACTATAAACTGAAAAATGAGACTAGCAAATGCAAAAGTCACACTAACATAAGGAGAAAAGCTGCGGTTACAGTAAATAGAGATCAACAAAGTGGAAATGAAAAAAATGATGGTTTAAAGAAGCAGCACAGCAGAAGCTCCACTAGGGGGCGATCATCAGTGTTAACTCATATTGGTGTGCTTGCACGTAGTTTCTACTTTGTTGCTATTTTCTGTTTTTGCAGCTTTTTTTTCCTTTAAACTTGAGTTTATTTTTTGTGTTTGCAGGACTTTTTAAATTTGCAGTGAGATGCATATCATCCATTTATGCGGCGTTTGCACTCCTGGGCCTCCGTAGCTCTTTGCTGCAGAACAGTGTTAACCGTTTGTATTCAAGATAAAAACTCATGTGCTTCAGCAGTTTGACGTGTTTGTTTAACCTGAGGCAGATCAGCATTTGTACCATTTTCAATTTACTCATCAGATTTTAAATTGCAGTAAATAAGAGGAAACACTGGGTTGTTCTTGAGGCTTTATCAGGCTTTAAGCTTTCCTGCCATGTGTCAAAATGTCTTACCTGCCTTATCACAGTAAACCAAAAGCTCAATAAAAAAAGAGACTTTTTATTTCTTTGGAAATAAACCGAACCAACATAATTAGCTCTGAAACAAATGAATAGAGATTTTAAAATATATCTAAAACCCAAGCCTTCCAAGGCGCTGACAGATCCTCCCGTTGGTCTGCAGAGGAACAGACCCACTGATCCGTAAAGCATTTAGATGGAAAAACCCTCCGTCCGTCACTAGGCTGCCAAATGTCTCATTTATGTGTCAGAGTACACAGTCTGCTGAACGTCCCCGCGTGTACCGCTTCCACTCCAATGTCATTGGAGAGCAGAGGCCATGCAGGAGCCAGTCCAAACCAGTTTAAAGTCAGACCAGTTTAAAGTCTACAGTCAGACCAGTTTAAAGTCTACAGTCAGACCAGTTTAAAGCAAACAGTCAGACCAGTTTAAAGCCAACAGTAAGACCAGTTTAAAGTCTACAGTCAGACCAGTTTAAAGCCAACAGTAAGACCAGTTTAAAGT